ACCACAATGGCTTAGTGGTTCACAAAGGTGCATAAAAATGACAGTTATATGTAACATAGTCCCCGTGACGCAGTGGTAACACACTCGCCCAGGCGCTTCACAAGCACTTTGGCCCGAGTTCGTATCCTGGCCAGGAAGGATTGACTGGGCTCCAATCCTTAACTGTAGCCTCTGTTCACCCAACAGTGAATGGGTACCAGTCTGTTAAACGATTTGGCGGGTCGTATTCCGGGGAAAATTAGGATTAAAAAAATACAAAAAAGATATAGTGTGTAATAATAAACTATTCTTCTAAGACTATAAGTGTCATACTATATTTAAGCATACCAATGTTCCACTCATTTTATTATATCAATTTCTCAAATTACACTTAGTGTTACTTATATATAAAAAAAAAGAGGTCAATGACATTGAAATGAATGTAAATATATCCTCATGGCAATTCCCACCAACTTGAGGTGGACGGTAGAGCGACGGTCTCGCTTCATGCAGGTCGGCGTTCAATCCCCGACCGTCCAAGTGGCTGGGCACCATTCCTTTACCCCCTTCCCAATACTATATAGTCGTAATGGCTTGGCACTTTCCCGATACGTCCCTCCTTTCCCACACCCCCATGTCTGGCTCGGGGCGACCTACACAGGGCAACTGCTTCATGAATTCATGGGAATCGTGACATCATATCGTTCCCTTGCTTCACCAAGGCCAGACACAATTTTTGTTATTTTCCCTGTGATTAGGGAACACATTAGAAGATCATCCCAGAGCCCAGCCTGAGGCCAGGCTCGAGAGCGTTGTCTTGTATAAACAGGAGCAAAGTCCAGGGTTAAGTTAATGACTTCTGTGCAGATTATCAACTGGATAGCTAAGAAAAATTTATTTTGTCACATACAGTATATAAAAGCCAATTATGATTGATTTTTTAATGTGTAACCAACGTTATTAAATTCTATATGGTTTAATACCATTTCTTTAACAATTAGTGTATATGAAGACCATGAGCTGGGCAACTTACGCAGGTGAACCGAGCAACCTTGGGGGCCTGACAGCTGAGTGGACAGCGCTTCAGATTCATAGTCCTGAGGTTCCGGGTTTAAACCCCCGGTGGAGGCAGAAACAAATTGCCAGTTTCTTTCATCCTGATGCACCTGTTCACCTAGCAGTAAATAGGTACCTGGGAGTTAGACAGCTGCTATGGGCTGCTTCCTGGGGATGCATAACAAACAGGAGGCCTGGTCGAGGACCGGGCCGCAGGGACTCCAAGCCCCGAAATCATCTCGAGAAGATAACCTGTCCCAAAAAAGCACAAGTAGACATATGATGCAACCTGGAAAGTTTTGACAAGCCCTCAAACTTTGGATATACTGTACTGTACAGATATTCACACAGTATTCATTAGTCAGGCCCAAGAGCAAATGGATACCTGACTTTTGAAGATACCATACACACATCTCGACGAAAGCAAAGTCACAAATACTTTTACTTGAATTATTTTTTGGCCTTCTATAGAAGACAACATGGTTATTGAAGTGGGAAGTGGTGCTACTGGCAGGGTCCTGAAGTGACTCATTCACCGAAACTTGCAGGATGATCCTTGAACAATGAGCAGTTGCTGTCCACGTGATGTGAACGTGTCATTATTAACCTACGCTGAAAAGCCAGTGGATATTTACCTTTCCCGAGTTTACCTGAGGGCCACTAACACTCGTGGCCCCAACGAGGGCAGGAAGCTGGCGGCTTGTCGAAGATTACCCTCCAAAATCTTTTCCAGTTGGACCTTGAAATTCAACAGAGTCTTTGCATTTAACATACACATGAGGGCTATGTGGATAATATATATATATGAATACTCTATAAATGCCAGTACTGTAGGTAAACTTAACACAAACTGAATGACCAGCAATTCACCCATCACCCCCCCCCCCCCCCCCGATATATACGAGAGTTGTTACATTCTTGTACAGCCACTAGTACGCGTAGCATTTCGGGCAAGTCCTTAATCCTATGTTCCCTGGAATACAACCTCCACGAAGAATCGTTTTTACAACCGAGTACCCATTTTACTGTTGCGTTAAAAAGAGGCTACAGTTAAGAATTTGCACCCAGTAAATCCTCCCCGGCCAGGATACGAACCCCAGGACAACACGCTCGCGGAACGCCAGGCAAGCGTCTTACCACTACACCACAGAGACTGTGACGATGAGACATTTCTCATTTCCAAATAGAGGGCATTACCAGGGGAAAGCACCAAAGCCATTACAACTATATAGTTTCCAAACAGAGCAGTAGCCCATGAGCCTGCACCCAACATATCTACAAACCTCAGGATACTTAATAATTAACTTACTTACACGATTGTGCCAGGCTGAGAAAGCACTATAATTTCTGTGATACATCCCATTCAGCATGATACATTACACAGTACTTCAAGGGCTTGTAGCATGATACATTACACAGTACTTCAAGGGCTTGTAGCATGATACATTACACAGTACTTCAAGGGCTTCTTAGTCCAAATTCCACCAACTCAAACCTTCAGGTAACCCAAATAATATAAAGTTTGAGATCTTGACTACTTAATTCAAACAAATTAGGGTTACTGTACTGGGTTTTACAATCGGGTTACTGAATAACATGTGGCAATCTGCATTTAACACTACTGTAATTACGTTAAAGCAATGTACGGTATTAATAACCAAATAAAAATCCAATATTATGACAAATAATAATTGAATGTTAAAATCTTTCCAACTGGCAGCTTATGTATCGTGCCCCGAGCAGACACGTCCCAACCCCATTTCTTTCTACTTATTGCCACTTCATTACTGAAAGATTTTCTTTCCTAGCTCTTTTTGGTTAATATAAACTTGGCTAATTTTTTCCAATAACTATTGAGGTGTAAAGAGGAAGCAAATTGTACTATCAATAAAAGATAAATTATGAGAGAGTACTTTTTGAAAATGGCTATTCCACTGCGAGTGCTACGAAGGATTTTGGGATAGTGCGAGTACCTCTGCCCGAAACGCTTAGTGCAATAGTGGCTTTAGGCATCGTATGTACTAGCTCTATCTATAAATTCATCAATTTTTGTATCACCCCTTGTATGTACTGTATGTATTTTACCTAAATAAACATTTGAATTTGAATTTTGAATTTTGATACAAAGATGCATAAAGATCGTAATACAGTACAGTTGGCTTCATTCTTAACTCTCAATTGAGGATCCTGAATTAAATTTCCAGGTGGGATAGAAATGGTTGGGCAGGTTTCCTTTCACCTAATGCCTCTCTTCACCTAGCAGTAAAGAGGTACACAGAAGCAACTGTTGTGGGGGGTTGCATCCTGGGAAGGGTCAGTAGTTTGACCTTGGGACCTTAATACAGGCCTAAAGTATATACAGTGTACATGCAGTCTTTCTGTCCCTAACAAATTATAAATGAAATGCATAATTACTAGTGGGAGGGAGGAAGCACTAGTAGGGATTGTAATGGAAAACGAAGCCTGTACAGCATGCACAGCTGGACGAGACTCTCCATCAATCATGTTAACTTCGTTAAAATTTGGTACAGGATTGTCATTAAAATGTACAGTATTATGTGAAGATCCTCACTTAACCACGTATATGTTTATTGTACGTGGAAATAAAAATTACATCGTGTGGTACAAAAAAAACTGCAAATGGTAGCTTTTTGTCAACATTCAATGTAAAAAATTTGGCCCATTTGAATATTTTGGCAATTCAAATGGGGGCGTCCCCATGCAATTCCGATTAGCAAACACTTATGTAATACAGCAAGTACACACGACCCTCCAACAGAGCCCACAGCTTACTCGCTTACGTAGACTCATTATAATACTGGTACCAATGCAGAATAACTAGGGCCTATACACAAAAATCACATCGTGATACTGTATATCGACGAGAAAATCCAGAGAAACCGTGATGAGGACTCAAACCTATGGGCTGGGTGTTCCCAGATGCACGCTCTAGTCGACTACGTGTCACCTAGAGCGACCTTTTTTTCAAACTAGTGCTAAATGCTCAGTTCACTGCCGTGTTTATATATACGGAAAATCTTTTTTTCTGCAGAGAACAATTTATGTGGCAAGTGTGCAGTCAAATATGCGTGTATTCCAACAATATTTTCTAATTGTTAAAACAAAAACTATTTAGCTAGACTGCGATTGCTTGGGTAACGTTGGGTAGGTTATAAAATCTGCCAGCAAGTTGTCTGAAGACACCTAACAATATATAGCGCAAGTCAACCACATATTTCACTATACCCAACATATCCTAATACAAACGCAAGAGCCAAAAAGAAATAACAAGTGTCCTGTAGTGCAGAACACCTGTTAATAAACATCTGTTATTAACAGGTGTTCAGAGGGGAGGGAAGGAATTATCAGGGGAAAGCATCAAGCCATTACAACCGACCTGCATGAGCAATCGACTCTCAGCCAGCCTCGGGGGTTCGATTCCTACGCAACATGAGACATCCAAGACACATTTCCTTACACTGGCTGCCTGTCTACCTAACCTTAAATAAGTCCCATGGAAACGCACAACTGTTGTGGAATGCTTCCCACAAAGGACCAATCTTCGACCTACGACGACCTCAATAAACACAATACACTTCCTGACCCAAGACAAAACATGTTTACTTCTTGTTAAAGTTCAATAGTGACCAACCCCATTCTTCTCTAGCCTGCCTTAGCAATCGTGTCCACGTAGCCAAGTCTTGCATCACGTCACTGGTGGCAAATATGCGCAACAAGGGAACAATCAGGTGATATAAGGATAAGCTTAGGCTAGACTAAGTCTACCCAAATAGGATAGAGCAAAACTACATATCCACACACACAATCCATACACCAGCAATACACCAGCAATACTGCATGTAACCTCCGCCAAATATACAAATACAGGATAAATACATCAAGTTCTGGGCCAATTAAGTGCCATAGAGAGGAGTGAGAGGTCTTAGGGGGGCCGAACCACGTACCCGCATACGAACTTCGTAGTCCGTATATCTCTTGTTACCCACGCCATGAGTGATAGGGTTGACTACATCGATCTCTAAGAAGTTGGCGGGGGCCGCGTAGGCATCATCGAGGGTCTGCTTCTTGGAGACGAGGCGGCGTGTGGAGTCGTTGGTCATGTCAGCCATGTTCAGGGCGAGTCACGACTCCCAGTCCTCCCACTGTCATCAATGTCTGGCCCCGCAGGCAGGACCAGCTGCGGACCACGACACTCTCTTAATCCACATTTACACCCTAACTACCACACTTTTGAAATAATCACGCTATTAACAATACAGCAAATTAAAATTTGATTAATATTTGTTATGTGATAAAAGTCCTTTGGGGAGGAGATAATGTGATAGGTATTGGTTTGTTCTCCACTACTATGGGGTGATGGGAGGAGGCGGAGATGGCAGTACTTTCCCCCATCATAACAATATAAACATATATTTGTATCCTATATTACTACTCTCATTTATCACCATCTTAGTCTATAGTTTGCTACCATTGTCCTTACAGCAATCACAATCATCACTTGAGAAAACAATTGTCTTACAAGGCCGTATTTATGCTATTAATATATTAATTTAACTCTATTAAAATTCCCATTTATTTATTTGGTTTTAATGTGTTAATTTAATTTAATATATAAATCAAATAATATATATTATTTTGTCAATATCAAACAGCAGAGCCAAATTAAGAGAGTGCGGTATATGACATCCTTCTGAAGTTCATGCTAGAAAAATCCTCAACCTTCCATTCTCTACCCTTAAGACCGAACTATTTGCCTTGATCCTTGCACTGAAATGTGTACAAGTCTCCAAACTTGATACATTAATTGTAAGTGACTCTTTATCATCCTTAAATGCTCTCAACTCAAGTTCAAGTTCAAGTATGTTTATTGAGACAAAAAAAATACATCTCAAAGGGATAGAGTAGCTTTAGGCTATTTCTACCCCCCCCCCCCACCCACATCAAGTCCCTCAAGGGGCGCACAAATTCAGTGAGTACAAATAGACAAATAATATTACAAGAATCCCACTTAATATTGCAGGTTAATATAGTAAGCACAGCATATAAGTTTTAGCCCCTGCTATTGCATTGCTCTTCAACAAGTCACTTGAACTCCAAACCTTTCCAGATATTCTAAAAAAACCGAGAGTAACCCCTGTCCACAAATGTGGTGATCTCACAGATGTTAACAACTACAGACCTATATCAATCCTGCCTAACTTGTCAAAAATATTTGAAAAACTAATCTACAAACAGCTTTACTCCTATCTAGCCAAACACAATATACTTAGCTCTTGTCAATATGGCTTCAGACCCAAAAAAAGCACTAACGATACACTTATTAGTATGATTAACTTGATTCATGCAGCTCTTGATAAAAATGAGTTCCCTGTTGGGTTATTTGTGTACCTGCGTAAAGCTTTTGACACTGTCAACCACCAAAACCTTCTTCTTAAATTACATCATTATGGAGTCAGAGGACACTCCCTGCAATACCTCAAATTCTACCTTACTGACAGGCTCCAATATGTTTCTGTGAATAATACAATTTCTCCCACCCTACCCATCAACATTGGTGTTTCTCAGGGCAGCATACTTGGCCCTTTCCTCTTTCTCATCTACATTAATGACCTTCCAAATGCCTCCCAACACCTCAAACCAATTCTATTTGCTGACGACACAACCTTCATTTACTCCAGTCCTGACCCCCTTGCTCTAAATGTCACAGTAAATACTGAGCTAAATAAATTCAACCAATGTCTGTTTTTTTTTTTTAAATGGCGCTGTTTGTCGACAGAATTGTATTTGTGCTGCTTTTCAGCCATGTTCCCCCCTTTTTATCTTTTTTTTTATTTGTTCTCAACTCATTTTATTCTTTATGCTCAATTAGTATTAAGCTTTAGTCATTTAAGTTTTTCCTGCCCGAAACGCTTTGCGTAATAGTGGCTTTAGGCATTGTATGTACTAGCCCTATCTATAAATCCATCACTCTTTGTAAAATCTCTTGTACCTTACCTAAATAAACATTTGATTTGATTTGATTTGAAGTCCATCTTTGGCTAACTGCCAACAAACTCACCCTTAATATTGACAAAACTTTCTATATTCTGTTTGGCAATAAATCCTCTAATCAGATAAATCTCAAAATAAACAATACCCAAATTTGTAACAAATTAGATGGCAAATTCCTTGGCGTTCTCATTGACCACAAGCTGAATTTCCAGGGACACATTCTAAATATATAAAAAAAGTTTCAAAAACTGTTGGCATTCTTTCTAAGATCAGATATTATGTACCCCGCCATGCCCTGGTGACGCTCTATTACTCCCTTATCTATCCATATCTCAACTATGGTATTTGTGCTTGGGGTTCTACTGCCCAAAATCATTTACGTCCTCTAATTACTCAACACAAAGCTGCTATTAGGACAATATCCAACTCTAGCCCCAGACATCACTCGGTACCCCTATTCAAATCTCTGAATATGTTAGATATTAAGTCACTGCACATTTTCTCATGTGTATTATACATATATAGAACGCTGAACTGTGTTTAGTTAGTTAGTTTAGTTCATTTATTATGCACCCCATACCCATCTTGTGGGCGGTAGTGGAAAGGGTTACAGAGGCACATAATGGGCTCAGGGACTGAACCCCACAATTCATTTAGCTAAGCAAGTTACAATCTTGATGAGCTAGTTACAAAATTCAATATAAGTCATCACATCAACAATGGGTTCGAGATCGACCTCAAGTACAGGTTCTAAATTAAGCAACTGACATATGTGGAGAGCTAGTGTCACAATTGATATGTTTGTCCTGCACACCGCCCCCCATCCAGTGGGCAGCGGTGGATAGGTTACAATCACTTAGTTACTACCTACAGTTAGCAAACTGGGGATATTTGGCTAAAATTTCTGGTAGCAGATCATTTTGAATGAAATATTGACACATCGCTGGAACATTGGTTATAGAATTGTCTCTAAATTCACGTATCTTTTCGCACTCCATCACATAGTGACGGAGGGTGTGCGAATAATTTTGTTGACACAGTTTACATTTGGTCAGGTCTACATCGGCAGATAATGAGAATTCCCAGAGATACTTGTAACAGAGTCTAAGCCGAGCAGTAGTAACATCTAGAAGTCTGCTGATTTTACTGGATGATCCATAGATGTGTGGCTCCTCTTGCATGATAGTATGATGATAGATGGAATTACTGGTGTCAATTTCACTTTGCCTCAGATCTACAAGATCTTGTTGAAGTTCTCGGTGTACTGCTGCTCTCAGATTGCTCATTGACAATCCAAGGTTACACTCAACGGCTCCTTTAAAGGCAGAATCTTTGGCTAACTTATCAGCTCTATCATGCATTCGGAGGCCAACATGAGATGGAGACCACATGAAATGGACTCTGTTACCATCCTTAATAATTTTGTTGTATTTGTGTCTAGCTTCGGACACGAGCATGTTACAGTTATGTCTTAAAGAGTTGAGAGAAGGCGTTGAGCTTTGCCTCAAGACGAAGCTTGGGCTGTTTGTCGACCTAATTGTATTTGTGCTGCGTTTTCAGCCATGTTCCCCCCTTTATTATCTTTATTTTTATTTGTTCTCAACACAGTTTATTCTTTATACTCAATTAGTATTAAGTTTTAGTCATTAATGTTTTTCCTGCCCGAAACGCTTTGCGTAATAGTGGCTTTAGGCATTGTATGTACTAGCTCCATCTATAAATCCATCAAATTATGTAAAATCTCTTGTATGTATGTACCTTACCTGAATAAGCCTTTTATTTTATTTATTTTTATTTTTTTATTTACACTCTTGGGGCAAAATTCTTGTAGTTCCTAAGCCTATCATACCATTATCACACATCCAAACAATTTGATGTGGTACACTACTTATTTCCTTATTTCTATAGTTATCAATAAGTTGACACTCTAATACATAATGTTCTAAGGTGTGGGCGTGCGGCATACTACATAATTTACACTCCTTGTTCAAGTTCAAGTATGTTTATTAAGACAAGAAAAAAGATATATCTCAAAGGGGTAGAGTAACTTAAGCTATTTCTAACCCCCCTCTATTTCAAGTCCCTCAAGGGGCGCACAATTCAGTGAGTACAGATGTCATATCTATTTTCTTTTTTATTTCTCTATACCGTTTTACTCTAACCTTTGTTTCAACATTTGTCGCTACAGAACGTTGAACACCGCGAACACTACTAGAAAGTTCATTTTCCTGACTATCCTCTATCATCAATACGTCATGTTCTTCCTTACTTTCTTCAACGCACGTTTCACTTTCCATTTCACGTCCTGTTTCACTTTCCCTTTCACGTCCTGTTTCACTTTCCCTTTCACGTCCTGTTTCACTTTCCCTTTCACGTCCTGTTTCACTTTCCATTTCACGTCCTGTTTCACCACCATCTTCACCCCGTCTACCCTTCATAGTTAATTGTTCTAATGCCTCAATCCTCTTGTCTAGTTTTTTTTTTTTTAGATATTCCAATATTTGAGTACCAACCTCAGAGTTCACTATATTGTCCTGAACCTTGTTTCCAAAAGGTTTATTTTTTTTTCAGCTGCATTTCCTACTTTCCCTAGGCTCGCCTTAATTGTCTTCGTTCCTTTCTCCCACACATTGTTCATAGGCGCTGCCATTGGCTTCAAGCTGTTTCCTCTATGATCCTGCTGCACAATCTTTCCTTCCTTCGAGGATACACCTATCCTGCTTGTAGCACCTGTCCTAGAGTCTCTCAGACGAGGCTTCATGCGACAGATAGGAACCAGCAGTGTGGCTGCCTCGACAATTGCAACAAGATGGGACGATTTTTTCACCGTTTTTAATCTTGACTCTACACTCTCGAGAGTCGTGTTTCTTACCACAGTACCGACACCTGGAGTCAAACTGGCATTTCCAAGCCATATGTCCCCAACGTGAACACTTCATGCATAATATGGGCTCCTCAATGTATTTTGCAACTTTCCTATAGCCTAGTCCTTGCACAAAATTCTTACCGGCGCCTCACCCTTTACCAAAGCAACAACCTGGCTTTGTTTGTCACCACGAACACTGTTCCTCTTTGCCCAGACAACACTATCATTGTTGAGCAATAGATAACTTTGCTCTAAATGCCACAGTAAATACTGAGCTAAATAAAGTCTATCTGTGGCTAACTGCCAACAAACT